AACTTTCGATACATACCGACAGCTTCGCTTAAGTCAGACATTCGCTAATTCTGACAATTTATTTATTTCCTTTGGGGTAATTTGGTGTCAAAACAACAACAAAAGTTCAAAAAAATAACCCATTATCTCTAAATGATTTTTGCAACAAAGATACTTAACTAGGCTAAAAAGAATTCCCCAAAGTTGTTTTAAACAAATCGGAATATTTTAGAAATTGAGCTTGTTTAAAATTCTAAACTTGGTAACATTTTTACTTATCATGCTCCCCTCACAACGTCTTTATTAACAAGTAAATGCCAATGCATACGTTGTTACCTTATACCTTGTTACCGTTCTTACCTTATATTATTTCATAATTTGAAATTATCCACATATTATTAGATGCTAAACCATGAAATTATACTAAGAAATAATACTTTAAGAGTAAATCTGTGTTTTTAATTAAATTTAAAAGTAAACATGCTAACTTTAAGACAAATTACAGAAATGGTTAAGATCTATATATTTCCAAACTTCATATTCTTAAAGTATATATAAATATCTAAAAAAAAAAAAAAAAAAAAAAGTTAATTTAAAAAAAAATTAAAAAATTTAATTTTTATTTTTGATTGAAAGTATATTGAGATTTGATTTGATTTGATTTGATATTTGATTAAAAGTATATTGAGATATATTTAGGCAGAAGATTGATTGGTATTTATGTTTAGGCACAACCAGAAAGTAAGAGTTCTTACTTATGTGTAAAACTACAATACAATTATTTAATAAACTGTCCTCATTTAGATATACTTTATATTTTAAGTTTTATGAAATGGCGTATGATTACAGGTTGCAAATTAATTTTTATTTTATTTTTTACGTTTATTGAGCCTTTTTCAGGGTGTTTGTAAAAATTCGCTTTACATCGGTAGAAACCGGGTAACAAAACCAGGTTATATAAACTTATCAAGCTATTGACGTTCTATTTTTCAGCAGCTGTTTTTGAGCACGCTTCGTTGAGTTTCGTTAACTTTTAACAAAAAAGCGATTGTTATTATTCAAGTAATTTTTTTTGAGTTACTTTTTACAAAAATTTTAATAACTGTACTTTTTTATTGAATCATGTAGAATACGTTTTAATATTATTCCTTTTTTTTTTTTATTTGAGCTTACCTTTTTTTAAAATGTTTCCTCAAAATTACTCTTAAATACTTTAAGAGTAAATACGTCTAACAGTTAATAAATATTTTTAAATCTATAAAATAATTTTAAAACCTAACAAACCCCTGTAAAATAATTATTTAAGTTAAAAATCTTAAACTAAAAGAAATTATTTTTGTTCAATTTTATCAACAACTTTGCTATTGCTGAATAATTTTATAAAAATGTTAGCTTAAAAAGATTTAAACTTTTTTTTTTAATCTGAATTTTTTCTACTTGTAAATAATGAGCATATTTAATTTTTTTGTAATTCAAACTTTTATATCAACTGCATGCGGTTTTTAAAATACTTTATTAAATGTTAAAATAATCGTAAATTACTTCATTAAAATTCCGCTCAAAAATATCTTTAAATATACTCAAACAAAAAATTTTTTGCTCGACGCAAATAGCCCTAGCTACATGCAAAATCGCTCCTGGACGACGTAAAATTCACATCATGCGACGTTTTATCGCATAGCCTGATATATATATGTATATGTTATTGTTGTTATTATATATATATATATATATATATATATATATATATATATATATATATTATTGTTGTTATTATATATATATATATATATATATATATATATATATATATATATATATATATATATATATATATATATATGTTTCAATGATAACAATAATATATATATATTATTGCTATTATTGTTGTTGTTGTTGTCGGTGACTATAATGTTCATCACACTGAAAGGCTTGGCTCTAGTGTCATTGACTCTGCAGGCATTAAGGCCCACAACTTTTGCTTTTCTCAATCCCTAACTCAAATAGTCAACTTTATAACTCGCTTTCCAGACAACCCGATTTATTTACCTTCTCTATTTGACTTATGTCTTGTTTCTGATCCTAGTCAGTGCTCAGTTTCTCCACACTTACCCTTAGGTGCCTCTGATCATGGTTTGGTCTCTCTATAACTATTATCTCATTCTTATTCATCATCAGAATCCCCCTATCATCATATATCTTACAATTACCTTAAAGCTGACTGTGACTCTTTCCATGATTTTCTTCGTGATGGCCCCTGGGTAGAAATCTTTCGTCTTTCTATTGACAAATGTGCTTCTTACATAACTTCGTGGATTCAGACTGGTATGGAATCCTTTATTCCCTCTCAACAATTCCAGGTCAATCCTCATTCTTCTCCATGGTTTTCCTCGCATTGTGCTGCTGCAATTGCCAATCGAAACCATTACTTCCATATATATCAGCAAAAAAATTCTCCAGAAAACAAACGTCTATTTATTACTGCTAGGAACCATTGTAAAAAGGTTTTGTCTAACACCAAAGCCCGCTATTCTCAGATCATGAAATCTCGCATTTCATCACAAAAATTAGGCTCTCGTGACTTCTGGAGAATCTTTAATAGTATTAATAATAAGGGCAAGTCTGTAATTCCACCTCTTTAGTTTGGTTCAGACTTCGTCACCTCACCTAATGACAAAGCTGAATTGTTTGCCAAGAACTTTTCATCAATATCATCTCTTGGCTCCACTAGTTGCCCTCTACCTGATATAGCCGTGAAACAGGTTGATCCATTGCTCGACATCCATATCACTCCAGCTTCTGTATCTAAAGTGATTTCCTGCTTAGACTCTTCTACAGCTTGCGGCCCGGACAACATACCTGTTATAGTCTCGCAGAAGTGTTCTCCGGAGCTGTCGTCTATCCTTTCAGAACTATTTAACAAATGCTTATCAGAGTCTTGTTTTCCAGCCTGCTGGAAAGCAGCATCTGTTATCCCTATTTTAAAAAATTTTGGAGAGCGATCTGATTCATCTAATTACCGTCCCATTAGTCTTCTTCCTATCATAAGCAAGGTTTTTGAATCTTTAATTAACAAACACTTAATCTCTCATCTTGAATCTCATAACCTCCTTTCTGATCATCAATATGGATTTTGATCTTCTCGTTCTACGGCTGATTTGCTTACAGTAATAACCGATAAGTTTTATCGTGCATTAGATAAAAGGTGGAGAGGTTAAGGCCATTGCTCTTGACATTTCTAAAGCGTTTGATAAAGTTTGGCATGCTGGTCTTCTCCATAAGCTTTCTTCTTACGGTGTATCTGGAAACATCTTTAAAATTATTGAATCTTTTTTTTCCAATCGTAGTATAAAAGTTGTCCTTGATGGACAGCACTCTTCTTCTTATTCTGTAACCTCAGGGGTTCCTCAAGGTTCAATCCTTGGCCCTATACTCTTTTTAATTTACATTAACAATCTTCCAGATATTCTCACATCTAAGGTGGCATTGTTCGCTGATGATACTACCATTTATTCTTGTCACGATAAGAAGCCAAATCCCTCTGATTGCTTGCAGGGGGCATTTGAGTTTGAAAAGGATTTCACTTTTGCTACAGCATGGGGCTCACAGTGGCTGGTGAACTTTAATTCAGATAAAACTCAATTTTTTTTAGCCAATCGTTATCGTATTTTTTACTATATATATATATATATATTTATATATATATATATATATATATATATATATATATATATATATATATATATATATATATATATATATATATATATATGTGTGTGTGTGTGGCAAAACCTATTGTTCCCAAGCTGTGTTTCCAGACTATTCATTTTTATGACTGTGATCCATCAATGCATTAATATACAGTTATAAGTGTGTTAAGCACTTTTGTATATTAGCGCTTTTGTAATAGAGTTAAAGAAATGTAAAACGAACACAAAAAAGTAAATTAAGTATGATAAAAAGAAATTACTTTTTTTTAACATAGTTTGGAAATTTTAAAAGTAAGAAACAATTGTTATTTAAAAAAAATTTGATTTAAATTTTTTCAAAAATTTGATTTAAATTTTTTCAAAAATTTGATTTAAATTTTTTCAAAAATTTGATTTAAATTTTTTCAAAAATTTGATTTAAATTTTTTCAAAAATTTGATTTAAATTTTTTCAAGTTGTTTTTTTTTTGTGCCAAGTTTTGACAAAATTGGCTAATTGCATTTTGATGGAGGACAAGACTTATATAAAATGTGATTTTAGCCAACTTCCTGGTAAAAAAATTATACATCAACTATAACATCAGCAATTTATATTCAAGAATGTGTTTTTTGCTCCGCATTTGATTCCATACTAGGCCCGGCCTGACTTACCACAACATGCCACAACATAGGCATATGGAGATGCTCAGTAATCATGTTGATTGATTGCTATGTATGGTGTAAACATGGTTACAATGGTAAGCATGGCTAAAATGAATGGTGGCATTTTCAATAAGATATTGTGCTTGTCCAAACAGCTCTTTAATACATGGGTAAAAGAAATTTAAGTAGGTTAGTTGCCCTAACTAGCTTGATCACTAAATTTAAATCCAATCAAATTTATTTGAGTTTGATGAAAAAAGAATTAGTCAAGGTCTGAATAAGATCTAATGCAAGAACTAGAAGTTAGAGAAGAGTTTCAACTGAAATTTGCAGCAATCTTGTTAAATCAATGCAAAAAGATGTGTAGCTTACAAAAAACTTTTTTTTTGTTTTGGCAATTTTATTATATTGCAGTTTTTTTATTAATAATTTTTCGTGTTGTGTTTGATAGTTTTTTATAAAAAAAATGTTATCAAACGGAAAAAATCATTTGTTTTAGTATCTCGTCTAAGATGTAAGATTTGTTTAACAAATAGTTTTCTTGTAAATAAATAAAAAAATAGTTTAATAACTTTTTTATTCTTTTTTTATGATACTCTAAATTAAGATTTGAGCAATAAGTTTTTTTTTTTAAAACACTCTATTCCTAAGTATTTAAAAATTTTTTTAGATCATATCTTTTGATTAGTACTATTGATGGAAAAGTATCTTGTTTAAATACACACGACGGGACTGTAAAATGGATATCTCATTCTACACAATCACTTTTATCTTCTAGTGTAAAATTCAAGGTTGCTTTAATTATGGTTATGTATTATAGTATTTTTAGTTTTCAAATTATTAAAAAAGAAATCTTATAAATATATATTTTTAAAATAAAATAAGTTTCTTTAAATCAAAATATATCTTTTTAAATTTTTTTGATTGAATAAAAAAAGTTTACTATTAATAAAATGCCAGTATCTGTTGACAAACAGAATTAACCAATATAAAATTTGTTTTCATAAAAGTGTTCAGAAAATAAAGTTAATGCATAAAATCAAATTACATTTTGAATATGTCAATTTTACATAGTAAATGGAAATTATAATAGAATAAAGATAAAATATGAAGTTAAGACACCATTTTTAAGCCTTAAAAATGACTTACATTTACTCACAGTTGTTATTTATGATCTTTGTTATGAAGCAGCCCCAAATATTTTGAGATTATGATAAACTACTATGGAGGGAAAAAAATCAAAATACTTAGGGTATAGGAATTATCATTTTTAAACCCAGAGACCCTATATAAATGGAATGATAATTAAAAAAGTAGGTTTTATAAACTTTAAACCCCATGTATTTTTGTGAGTCATTTTTGGGACTTCACATCCCTATAAGTTTCAAGATTTAATCTTTAAGGAATGATTTGGAGTTCACTTAAGATGATGGAACATTTAAGGAAAGATTTAGAGTTTATTCGAGATTCATCAAGGAAAGATTAAGTGTTTTACATATATTATATTTATATATATTATCAATATTTATTATCTGCAGTATCTTTTTATATAAATTTTATTATTTGAAAACTTTGAAAATTGCACTGAAATAACTCCAAAAAAAAAAGACAAATTTTTTGAAATATATTTTGTAATTAAACTTTGAATAAATACGTTTGTTTTCAATAAACTTTATGCAAGCTGTTGAATTTATGTTTCTTTATTTTTTTCATTTTGGTTTAGTTGTATCTTGAGTATAATTTTTAATATAAGAGTTACTAAACTAAATTTAGTTATTATTTTCAGAAAGTTTTGAATTTATAAAACTAAAATTTTAAAAAGTTTAAAAGTTATTATTGTCTATTCTATTTATTATTCTTTAACATCTCCTTACATTTTTTTTACTGTATAACATTTTTGTAATTTATTTGCATAAATTGATGTACAAAATAAAATAGTTTTTAATAAACTCCTTATACTGATCATTTGAACTTGAAAAATTTATTAAAAAATATTAGGAAAAAAAATGTAAAATTTGCTTATGTAAATAGGCTTATATAAACAGACTAACGCAAACAGACTTAAATCTGTAGCCAGGTGAGGGTTTAAGCCTACTACCCTCAGCAATTGCTAACATGTTTAAAGGGGTAATAATATAAAAATATATAAATATTTTTATATTATATACTCCTATATAATATAAAAAATATAAATAATTTTTTAAAATTTAAATATTCATGATTCCACACTTATGGAGTTTAGACAAGAATACATAAAGCCATTTTCTTATTTAAATTTGGCATTATCGAACAATTGAAGCAATTTACAACCAGATTCTTCCTGGGATTAACCTGTTTTGCAATATGTTTATATGACTGATAATTTCCATCAACAAAGTTATCAGCAGTATAGTTTTATATTAATTTAATTTAAAATGAGGTAATTTACTCTAGGGAATGAATGGCGGTTCTGATATTCGTATAGTTCCATCTTTGGATGGGAAATTGTACACATGGGATGGAGAGAAACTAGAGGTATGTTAGTTTACTTATTTCTCTTATTTTTCGTATATTATTAAGACTAACAAAAATCCATTATTCTCCCAAATCTCTTTCAAATGTTTTTATCATTTCAATAAGTCAATATAAAAAGGTGTTGTCTAATGCCTAGGTCCATCATTCTTCTATTACTAGAAATATTGTATTGTTTTAAGATCCTAGATTGCAAAGAACTTTTATAAAAATTCACTTTGTGATTTTAGGCCACGCACTTCCTGATGTCTCTGATGAACAGGTTACCCTTGTTAGACATTCATTCTGTACTTCATAGTTAACGTTGTTTCATCTATTTTTCTACAGCTCATTATCTATATTCTTGTCACAATTTTGAAAATGTGTTCTCCGTAATGTGTTCTGAAATTCTTTTTCTCAAAACTGTACACAAATACCTAACAAGTTTCAATTTTTTCCTTTCCTTTTTATTTTATTCATATTTATTTTTAAAAAATAAAGAAAATTAAAAATTTTGTGAATTGAAAAAGTAAAACTTTAAGTGTATTTGATGATTGTTATCATCATTATTATCTTCCGAATTTCAGCTTCATACCTTAATATCACCTTCTTAAACATCACTAGTTATTTTTGTTAGTGATCGTAAAAAATCTTGAAAAGTTAAAAATGTACACCACCTTTTGGTGTTGTAAGACCAGCTCTGATAGCTCAATAGATTTTAACACAGACTGACTATTGATGCTCCCCTTTACCTATATTTTTGATTAACTTATATTTTATTTATATAATTTTTTTAATTTTTTATTTTTAAATAACATAAATTGTTTTACACTTATTTTTATTTTTTTAAATTTAAAAAGTTTTGAACCTTTTCTTACTAAATATTATAAAAGTGTAATTAGCAAAACCTTTTTGTTTTTAGAAAGTTCCTTTTACAGCAGAATATCTTCTTGGGCATCTGCAAAAGCTTTCTGATGGTAGCTTTGTAGTTGGCTCAAAGGAATCTATGCTTTCTGGAATAGATATAAATTCTGGTGAAGTAAACAAAATTTTTATTAAAAAATAATGAAACTATATAATTTTTTAATAGCAATAGTTTTTCTGTGTTAACCATTAAACATAGCGTTGACTAAATGATTGTAATTGTTATTTTGTTTTGAAACATTACTTTTAGTTTTTAACTGTAAGAGTTACATTGTGACACTATTGTTAAGAGTTTTAAAATTTTATTTTGTTGTGTTGTTTTATATTTAAAATGTAGAATAAATAATATGAATATATATATATATATATATATATATATATATATATATATATATATTCATATTATTTATAGTATAGTTTATTCGAGCTCATTTAATTCCAAAGAGTTTCAGTAAATGATGTCATTGCAAAATTTCGATAAGAAACCTGAAAATTCTTTTTTTTTTATCAAATTGTATGGTTTTTTTTTTTATTATTATTATAAATTACTAAAGAATTTGTTTAGCTACTTATTTTATATAAAAGTTTTTTGTTCATCATTATTACTGTAGAATTTCTTTAGTTATATTGCTTTCTAAATTTCGCAAAGTTGGGATTAAAAATATAAATAAAATTTCGCAAAGTTGGGATTAAAAATATAAATAAAATATTTCAGATATTTTAAGCTCCTCTATTGCTATAAATTATTTTTTGTGTTATATTCATTCATTCATTCATTCATTGTTACTAAATGATTATTATCCTTATTAAGATTCTGTTAAAAAAATTATTTTGTATTATCAGGCTAGGTCGGGAAGCGGGAGCGATCGCTCTCGGATACTGACCATGGAAATTATATTTAGTTGTGAAAAACTGGCCAGGTTTTTTAGTCGTTTTGAGAACATTCAAGTTGATGTTTAAAACAAAAAATTTTTGTTTTACGGACATACATGGAAACATAAAAAACTTGAATGTTCTCAAAACATCTTGGTGCGGAAGAATAAAAGGAATATTCGCAAACTCTAAAAACCCGCCAAATTAACAAACAAACTAATTCTATTAGTAAAAAAAATATGCTGACTAAGCGAAATAAAGTTCTAGAGTATTCTGCTGAAATGTTTTAAAAATTATATTATTCATGATTTGTTACGTTTTGAGATTTCTAGCATAGATTGTTTAAAGAATATATTATCAATTCTATGGCTCATTCTCGGAGCCACAATCTCGGAGCCACATCTGCAAAGCCATAAATCTTATAAACTATTATTATTTGTTTACAAAAATAAATGTTTTAAATATATATTATTTAAATTGTCAAAATTTTGAAAGTTTATTGTAAATTAAAAATTTTATTAGTATATACTTATTTTTTTATTTAAAGAGTATGTATTTTTGATGTAAATGTAATTTTGTGTATCTGTTTTTTATTGATTTAATTTATAAACAAAGACTTATAAAAATAATTGCGTTTTCAATGAAGTTATTAATAATCATTAAAGTTAATAAAACTAATTATGTAACAAACATATAAGAAGTTTCTGGTTACTAAACACAAACTATGCATACAAAGTAACTCGCGGATGAACAAGCACAGCGTCTGAGGTCACGACAGAACGCAAATATATATAGCAAGTTGTTATATATAAAGAAAAGTTTCTAGATATTGCTTTACTAAGTCTAATTATTTTCGGTTAAGTTGACATTTTTAAAAACTCGTTATACTTTTTTCTGCTTTAAATACTAAATAAAATTAAAAAGCCCACTAACTAAACATCATCAGCGATATTGTGAAGAAGTTTCGCTTCTTCGTCATAAAAGTATTTTTAACTTTTTTAGTTGATTTCTATCTAGTTAATTTAATTTCTATAGTAATTCAATGATTTAATCTTACTAAGAAGAATTGTTTCAAATATGTTAAACTTTTCAAACTACGCAAAACATAAAATAAATATTAAAAAATTAACTTTTTTATTTATAAAATAATTTAGCTTAGATAAAACTAAAACTAGCAAACTTTGATAGATAAAGAACATTTGTTTCCCTTTTTAAACAAATGTAAGATGTTACTTTATATAAAAAACGTCTCTTAATTTTATAAAAAAATTATAAAAGAACGATGTTTCAAAAATATTTGTTCTAAACCTAATTTATTTTGCTTTAAGTTTTTTTGCATTAAAAGATTTTATTTTCCAAATTTTTTTTTTTTTTTTGTAATTGTCTCTCTTTTGAAATGTTCTCAAAATGACTAAAAAATCTGGCCAGCTTTTCGCAACTAAATATTATTTCCGTGGTCAGCAATCGAAAGTGATCGAAACATTCTTTTTATTCATTATATGAGATTTACTATTCGAATTTTAATTAGTTGTCAATATTATGCCTTCCAAATTTTATTCAAAAAAATGTGCGGTCGCAGCGTAAAGAATTTTCTCAAAACGGCATTAACTTTTCATTGGGTACAAGTATTCTCGAAGTTTTTATTTAATCATGCGAGAATACATTTAATGAAATTTATTCTTTAAAACATGTATTGCTTATTTTATTTTATTTTATTAATTGAACAATTATTGGTCAAGATTGCAAAAACATGTAGCATCAGGTAAATTTTAAAATTGAAATCATTTAATGAAAAGCTTTTTATTGGCAATTTTGGTAGTTTTTTGATTTGAAATTTTAAGAGACAGGTTTCAATGTAAAATACTTGCCAAATACGACATAAATTGGGAAGTCAACACATTGACTATTTTAATTGCCATCTGTCTTGAATTATTGCCATAAAACATTAGTTGTTGCTTTAATTAATAAAAAGCTGTCTGTAAATTTGTTAAGTTTAAAATCTATAAATATTTTTTAACTAAAAATTTAAGAATTCACCAGATATCTCTAATAAATGATGTCATTTACCAAAATTCTTTATTAATTAAAAATTTGTAAAATGTCATTACAATAGGTGAACAAAAACATTATAGTGATTAACGGAAAAAAAAAAGTTTGCATTGTTTATATATAAATAAAAAGATTTAAGATAAATAATAAGGTGATCAATGTCTTTTTTGAATATTTATTATATTTTAACATAAAAATCTTAGATTTATTTGGTTCTTGCGCACTCTAAAAAAAAACATTCTTTTTGTTTAACTTCTTATAAAATTTATGAGAAAGTCATATGACTGATAATAAATGTTTATTTCAGGGATTATCTTTTTCCAAATATTTCTAGAATTCCGCATATTTTTCTGAATTTTTAGTTTTTCTGGATTTCCAAAATGTTTTCTGTACATACAAGTTTAGGTGTATATTTTTGTAATACACTTGTTTTTTAGGATTTTTCACTCATCACTCATTTACTAAAAGTCTTTTGAATTAAACACTTTTGAATAAATTATAAAGTCTGTAGATTGTGGCATATACTTTAAAGACTTTGAGATTGGCTATTATGGAGACGCCAACCTTCAAGTAAAACAACAAAGTTTGTTTTTCTTGGTATACATTTATTATTTTGTTTTACTTTAAAAAATTCTGCCCAAAAAGTTTTTTTATCATTCTCTTTAAAATGAACACAACTTGTCTCGGCACTTTGGGATCCCTTTAAGCCAAGCCTTGACTTTTTTGGACATGTGGCAAGAAGCTGAGTCATGTTGGAAAATTATTGTTCCATGGAACCGCATAAATTGCAGAAGATGGTCATCAAGGACTTTAATATAACGATCTCCATCCATTGTTACATTTAAAGGCAAGAAATAAAGTCCCCCGCTTTCAACTACAGAAAAATACCCCAAACCATGACACCAGGGGAGTGTTTCATAGTCTTTTACGCATAGGCTTTTTTGGCCCAATGGCGTGAAGGCAATTCAAGCTCTTTTTACAGCTTATGCTGCACTGTCCTAATAAAGACGTTTTCAAGCAATTCAGGATTTCTAAACTTTAATTGGCGTGCAGAAATAAAAGGATTATTAAACAATTTTATCTGCTCTCCTAGTTGTTTTCCTTGGTCTTCCAGACATTTTTTCCCAGATGGAGGTATTGTGTTCAGGATCTGACAAATACCGTTTCAGCCATCTTGCTATTGTCAAATGATATCGATTAATTTCCTTTCCTATATCTAGTATTTTTCCCTGCTTATGCAATGGAACAATAATGGCAATTTTTTCTTTTTAGAGATTACGGAACTTCATACTGCCAAAATTTTTTGAGATAATTTTCATAAATTTCAACGAAGATGCAAAAAATAGACTATTTTTCTAAAAGGAGTGGTGCAATTAAGCACGGATGAAGACTCCAGTATACTGAATTGAAACAGTTTACTATGCGTTAATATCTATAGAAATTATTGCTTGTTATAATAGAAAATGGTTGGTTTTTATAAAATGAATGTAACAATCTGTTTATATTATGCTCAAAGTTGTTTATATTATGCTCATAGTTTATAAAAAAGTTTTTTCAATGCGGTATGGGTGTAGTGGTAAGAGTGCTCGCTTTGTAAGCGAGAGGTTCGGAGTTTGACTCCCACCATGTCCCTGGAAGTACCGCGCTCAACCTAATTTCTCCCGCGCAGCGGCCTTGCTTCTTAAGGTTTGTGTTTCAGAGTTAAAGAGTTGATATAGGGTTGTACCACGATTTGCAGCAAGAAATAAAGAAAATATAAAAAAAAGGAAGGATGAGTAGCCTCCTTGACTGTAGTGGCCCCTTGGGCCTTGGGGAGGTGAATAATTAAAAAAAAAAAAATTTTTTTTTTTTTTTTCAGAGATCAAAATTACGAGTTTTCTAGCTTGTCACAATACTTTTCGTGGGCACTCTCTCTATATATATATATAGAACATACATTAAAACTATGTTTTTTTTTTTTTTCAATTTTGAGTAAATTTTATGATTTTTTTTTCAACACATTTACTTCCGACAAGGCTGCAAGCAACCACTATTAGAGTCAAAAGTTACTGAAAGAGAAAAGATAAATTTATAGAGCAAGATAACAATTAAACTGATTACTTAAAATATTGCAAATTATATGAAAACAAGATATAGGGAGTAAATTCCAAAGAACTGATGTTCAATGAAAAAAACTAGACGAATATGAATTTTTAGATCACTTAGAAGCAGTCACAGTAAAAGGATGAGACTTGAATGATAAGTAATACAAGAATAAATTTTAGTAGGTAACACAAGAGACACTAGCTCTTTAGAGCAGTGCCCATTATAGTATTTACAGAAAAGAAAAAGTAAAACAATATTACAACGATGTGATAATGGTGGAAGTTTGGCTGCAAGAGCAGGTCCAACTATGTATACAATGCGTTTTTGCACCTTGTGTAAAACAATAAGGGCAACAGTATTCCAAAAAGAACGGATTTGAGATTTATAGAGGTAAAGAATAGAATTGTGTAAGAAAGTGGCAAGCACGATAAAGAGATGCAACTTTAGCAGATGCTAATTTTGCAATGGATTTGATATATGATTTCCAAGAAAGATCGGAAGTAAGGGTTAATCCTAATAAATGAAGGGTAAATGACTCATCAAGTGCATTACCATTCACAGGCTTGGCCAGGAAGGTGTTCGATTTCAAGTCTTTATATCACCGTGCAAATTATATTTTGTTTTGATGCTCAATTTTTTAAATAAACGATTACACTATTTTTACTTATGTGCAAAGTATTGTTAAGAATCTTTTTTTAAACTTTTAAATGTGCGCGTTTATTAAACAATTGTCAGTTGTAAGTTGTTACTTTTTTTAAAAAGGGTTTCGCATAATATTATATAAAAACATTAGTAAAGATAAATGATTCAAAGTTTTTTATTCTAAACTTAATTTAGATAATCTTATTGTTATAGTTTATTATTTATTTTAGTTAAGTTTTAGTCAAGTTATTATTATTATTATTTTTTTTTTTTTTTTTTTATGAAGATTTATTTGCTTTAACGAAAAGTTTAAGATTCTTGATAAGAATCTTTAAGATAAAGTTAAGTAAAAGTTTCTTTTTAGTTTAAATTTTTTTAGTGCGTTTTTAAAATGTATACAAATTTTCAAAACATATTAACAGCTATGGTCAAATTAAGTAAAATCAAATAGTATTTGTGTAGTCATATTATGACGTGAAATCGCACGCCTTTCTGGCCAAGCCTGATTCATAAATATAGGAAGATCTAGATTATTGAAATAATGATTAGCTGAAAAAAATTGAGTTTTATCTGAGTTAAATTCTCATACGCCACTGTTAGCCCCATGCTGTAGCAGAAGTGAGATCTTTTTCAAGCTCAAATGTCCCTTCCAATGGGTTGGCTTCTTATCGAAACAAGAATAAAGTCATAAAAACAGAGACACAAGCAAAACCTATGGATTGAATCAAGAAGATCCAGCATTCGACATCCTAAACTGGAAACAATATATTATAAATACATCAATGTCAGCCTAATAGATGAAGTTGGGGTGTAAGGCTGGTCAACAGATAAAATCTGTTTACCCCTTTAAGTGAAATTTTTAATAGGATTTTAATTGTTTGATTCAAAATTGTTTTTGCTTTTTCAGTGCAATATTTTAAGAGATTTTAAGTCTATGTGAAATTTTTGTTTTTATAACTGAGTGCAATCAGCATTTTTTATAACTGAGTGCAATCAGCATTATTAAGAAAAAGTTAAAAAAAAATCCGTGTAAATTAGTATATTAAAATGAAAATTAGTGCAAATTAGTGTATTAAAAAAAAATCAGTGCAAATTAGTGTATTAAAAAAACATCAGTGCAAATTAGTGTATTAAAAAAACATCAGTGCAAATTAGTATAATAAAAAAACATCATGCTAATAAAATTAATACTAGAAAAGGAAAGTGACATTGGAGTGGGGTGGGAGTCTAGGTGAGGTGACTTTTTTTGTTTTTGAAAATTGTATTTTTTTTTGTTTTTTGTTTTTTTGTTAAAAATGTTAACAATAGTTTTTGTATTAGATTATTAATTTATATAGCTATAATATATACATTGGTATATGTATTTAAATATAGATATATATAATGCTAGAGTATTACTTGTTTGTACATTACTATAACTTCCATTGTCTATGTCTTCAGTATAGTAGAATAAAAAATCAAGTTTGCATTTAGATTGCTTTTGAATGTTCAGCTATTGGCTGTCAGCTCAAAAATCAGAACCAAAAAGTCCAAAACAAAGATATTTTGTCCTTAAGGAGAATTCAGCAAACAATACGTGTTGTAAATCCTCAAAATGGGCTTGAAAAGTAAGTGGTTTTTTATTTAATTACTCTATTGACTTTTGGAGTTCGATCTTCACCACGTCCCTGGTAGTACTGAGCTCAACTTGTTTCTCCATGCAGCAGCCTTGTTCGTTGATGTTCGTGTTTCAGAGTTATAGAGTTGAGAGAGGGTTGTAACCACAAAAGTAGCCTCCTGGACTGTAGTGGCCTTCTGGCCTTGTAGAGGGGAATAATTATATAAAAAAAATAAAAATACATCAAGTGCCTTGGAATATACAATTTTTGAATATACATTTATTTGCTCCCAGCTCTTTGAAAGTATTTTGCATGAGTTGACTATAAAATAGTATAAAATTAATGTTACCAAAAAAATCGTTCAAGTCTTTTTAAACGTATTTTATCCCCAGTTTATGCTACTAAATTAGGGTCAAATTCTAATCTTTCGATGTAAACATCATTAAAAAAACATCATTTTGATCTAGTCTTTGTGATGTAAATTAGGGGGATTCATAAGTTAGGTCATAGAAAAACTTTCACTAACAAATAAGCAATTTTTTGCAGACTATAATAAAGAAATACAAAACCTTTTTATTTTTATTATTTTTTTACCTTATACTGGCCTCGTCAAGTTTTAAAAAAAGTATTATTTTTAAAAATTGCATAAGGAAAAATATTATTTAAAAATTGCATAATATACCAGGAAGCATACTATTCTAACACATGAATAATAAAAATTAAAAATTACATCAAAAATTATCATTGTAGGTTTATTTTCAGGCTGAATAGCTGTAGTGGTGCAAAATCTAGCTTCTTATTAGTCAGAGACTTAGGTGCATAGAGAATACAATATACTTGCTCATCCTGGTGATGTGAGCTAATAGGTTTATATGTTTTTTGCGCAAAATCTTTGAGAAAGAGAAGCTACATACTAAATATCTTTGGCCATGAATCTAGCACGGTATATAGCACCAGGTTTCTTAAACTTGCAGATGGAGCTAATGTCCAGGTACATAAGATGTAACTCTGCCAGCTCATCTTTTTTCTTACCAGTCTTAAATATTATTCGATTTTTATTGAATGTTTTCTAAATTTAGATACCTTTGTGTAATTAAAAAAATGCTACTAACCTCTGAGATTTTGAAAGAGCCCATTTTTACTATTATCATAATTGGTTTGCTTTAATGGCTTGCCGATTTTAGGAAAAAATTTATAATACTTTATATATTATAAATTTACATAAATACATTAAAAAACATTACATACTGTACAAGACTTTAAAATTTGTATGAGTCAGAAAAACATGCAGATGGGTGAGGTTTCGTTGATGTGTGACGAAATAAACTAGATGAATAAAAATTTTATTAGCATGAAAGGACAGATACAATAAAAGAATGTGATGGCTGAATGACAAGCCAAGCAAAAATGAGTTTTGGTTGATTGAACTAGAGATGGTAGCTCGTTTAAGCAGCAACCATGATCAAGCCTTCCCAGGAGAGTTTTTTGTCTCAATTGTCAATGAAAAAGTTTTTTTTTAGACTACTTGGTTACAATCATTTGCAAGTTTTATTTTATTAGGTGTTTCACTATTTTGCGGGAAAAACTAAATTTTAAAAACAAAGAAAGCAAAATTAACAAAATAGGAAATTAAAATAAATTTACATAGAAAAAAAAAAAAAAAAAATTTGTGTACTGTTTTTATTTTATTTTCTTTAGGGTGGTTGTTATTTTCAGCAACAAAATTGGATAAGGCAAAGCAAAAAAAAAAAAAAAATTCTGTTTAAAGTCAACATTAAAAAGACTGATTTTCCTATATTCTATTTGTTTTTTTAAAGAGGAAAGAAAAAATATAATTTGCTATCTGTTTGTAAATTATATTTGTATAATTTTAATGCAACAAGTATATATTGTCTATGTAGTGCATGCATATATGTTTACATACACTAGGGATGTACCAGAATTCCGGCTAGAATTTGTGACTTTTTAGGTCATTCCGGTTCCAGCTGGAATTACAATATTTCTGGGCAGTATGCTGGAATTTTTTGTTTACTTTTTTTTTAAAGACATATGACAGACTGTGTAAACTAAATCAAAAAACCATTGTCCCACAAGGCAATTAAGCACTATAGGTAAACCTAGGTAAAAATACTAAGTTCTAAACAATCACAATATGATTTTAATTGCAATAATCAAATATGTTAGGATTTCTAATAGTTTAGGAATATTGTGGTGCAAAAAGAGTTGCTATCCAGTTTTGTATATATACAGGGGCTATTCTAGACCATTTTTGATGGCGTCGACCGTATTTGGGTGCCATCCAAATTAAAATTTAAGGACTTTTTTTTTTTATGTTTTTTACAGCAAGTATTGTTTTTTTTTTGTGAAAAAATGCAGATTTTCCGCTAAATTTCTCTGGGATAGAGGGGTACTGCCGCCCACCTTTTTTCCTAGAATAGGCTCTGTTATATATGTATATAATAATAGTTAAAGGAATTCTTTGTAAGGCAGGTAGAGTAACAAAAAATAAAAAAGAATTTCAAAAAAAGTGGATTAATGCCACCAATAAGACGAAAAAAGAAAAAATCTGCGAAATGATGGCATCAACCCGCTATAAAATTTGATCTCTTGCCAAAAAGCCCATCAACCCCCTTAATATTAAGTTGAAACCCTATTTAATGTAAACACATATAATTAAAAAGATGAAAAAAGCATTTATGGTTTTAGAGAAATATCAATTTAAAGTTGACTGGATTTTTCTGTGTCCACCCAATAATATACATATATAACCTATAATATATATATATATATATATATATATATATATATATATATATATATATATATATATATATATATATATATATATATATATATATATATATATATATATATATATATATAAATATATTATTATTTTTAAGGGGGTTGATGGGCTTTTTGGCAAGAGATCGAATTTTATAGCGAGTTGATGCGATCATTTCGCAGATTTTAAGGGGGTTGATGGGCTTTTTGGCAAGAGATCAAATTTTATAGCGGGTTGATGCGATCATTTCGCAGATTTTTTCTTTTTTCGTCTTATTGGTGGCATTAATTCACTTTTTTTAAAATTCTTTTTTTATTTTTTGTTACTCTACCTGCCTTACAAAGAATTCCTTTAACTATTGCCCAAAAATCTTCAATCATGCACTCTTCAGGATGATTTGGAGGATTCGCATCTTTCGGAACAGTTTTCACATTATTATCTTTGCACCACTGTAAACTTTTTTAGAATAGTGAGAAGCAGCAAGATCTGACTAAAGGAGACATTGGTATTTGTGTTTTTCTTTTTCTAGTTCAGCTTTTCTCACCTTGTGATTTTAGTGTTGATGGTTATCTTCCTTTAATTTGCTTGGCCTGGGCATTTACATTTGTAAGCATTCACCCATTTGTCAGGAAACTAGGTTTGAATCCACAGACTTTACTTTTATGTGCTTTTGTTTAGCACCACTCCACTCTATTACTTTCTCTTTGTTCTATATTGCTCACCTTCATCTCAAGATTGCTATCTTTTTGATGTTATTTCTGATCAAATTGACCAAGCCCTCTCTTTTTATCCATTAGTCAATATTGTTGTTTTTGGTGACTTTAATGCTCATCACATTGAATGGCTTGGCTTTATTGTCAGTGACGCTGCAGGTGTTGAAGCCAATAACTTTTGCCTTTCTCAAACTCTAACTCAAATCAACTTTCCAACTTGCTTTTCAGACAACCTGAATCATTTACTTTCTCTACTTGACTTATGTCTTGTTTCTGAGTCTAGTCAGTGCTCAGTTTCTCCACATTGACTCTTAGGTGTTTCTGATCATGGTTTGATCTCTCTAAAACTATTATCTCAATCTTCTTCATCATCTGAATCCCCCTATCCGAGAAACGAGAGCGATTGCTCTCGAATACTGACCACGGAAATTATATTTAGTTGCGAAAAACTGGCCAGGTCTTTTAGTCGTTTTAAGAACATTCAAGTTTATGTACAAAACAAAAAATTTTTGTTTTACGGACATACATGGAAACATAAAAAACTTTAATGTTTTAAAAACATTTTGGTGCGAAAGAATAAAAAGAATTTTCACAAACACTAAAAACCTGCCAAATTAACAAACAAACAAATTCTATTGGTTTAAATAGAAAAAAAAAAAATAAAAATAAAAGTTGAATTCAGGTTAATAAATAAATTTTTTGAAAGAACCTATTTCAACCTATTGCACCTCCTAACATCGAGTGCAATCCTGTCCGCTTTCTTTATGCTATCTTTCTAACACGACTACTTCTGTCTTTCACTCTAACATATCTTCGTTCTTCCTAAACTCACTTTACTCTTGGTCCGTAGAGCGGGTTATGACGCTCCTAGGGGATCCGAACCTGTCTTTGCGGACCTTGGTAATGTGGCCTCTATATGACAATTAGCTGGAGGAGGATAAACCACAATACCAGTTCTATTGGTTCAAAAAATACGCTTACTAAGCAAAATTAAGTTTTAGAGTATTCTGTTGAAAAGTTTTAAAAGTATTATTCACGATTTGTTACGTTTTGAGATTTCTAGCATAAATTGTTTTAAGAATATATATTATTTGTTTACAAAAATAAATGTTTTAAATATATATTAATTAAATTGTCAAAATTTTAAAAGTTTATTATAAATTATAGATTTTATTAGTATATTTTTAATTTTTATTTAAAAAGTTTGTATCTTTTAAAGCAATTTCTATGATTTTAACAAAGGCTTACAAAAATAATTGCGTTTTCAATAAAGTTATAATCAATAAAACTAATTATGTAACAAACATATAAAAAGTTTCTGGTTACTAAACACAAACAACGCATACAAAGTATCTCGCGGAGGAACAAGCACCGCGCCTGAGGTCACGACAGAACACAAATATATATATAGCAAATAATTAAATATAAAAAAAAGTTTCTAGATATTGGTTTACTAACTCTTATTATTCTCGCTTAAATTGCCATTCTTAAAACTCGTTATATTTTTTTCT